CCGCACACCCAGCATTTACTTCCTTTTACAAACCCCATCATAAATAATAACAACAACATGGACATTCCACATCCCTGTCCTAAGACCTAATTTTTACCAGGGAAGTAGTCTCCCTCTCTTCTCACACCCTAACCTGAGCCAATCCTCATAAGAAACTCTTACAGCATTTAAAAACTTACCACCTATTCCATATCTTTGCAACATCTGCCACATTGCTCTCTATCCACTCCTAACATATGCCTTTTCTAAATCCATAAATTCATAAAAACTTCCCTACCTGTAATCTAAATACTGTTACACAAATGAGGAGATGTCATGTCTGAAGGCAAGTGTGGTGTGAATATAATGCAGAGGAATTCCGAAAGTTTGGAAGTTAGAGAGGTAGAGGGATAACCAAAAACTGTGTCCCAGAGGGCTGAGGAAGTTTTTTGAGGTGGTTCAGACAGTATAGAGAATGGAGCGAAACAGAATGACTTAAGACCATCAGTCCCCCAGCAGTGGAAGGAAGGCGGGGAAGGGGTCGGCCTAGGAAGGTTGGGAGGGAGGGGGTAAAGGGAGGTTTTGTGTGCGAGGGGCTTGACTTCCAGCAGGCATGCGTGAGCGAGTTTTGAATAGGATGAATGGAGACTAATGTTTTTTAATACTTGACATGCTTTTGGAGTGTGAGCAAAGTAACAGTTATGAAGGGGTTCAGGAAACCATCAGGCCTGACTGAAAAGTCATGGAGATGGGAAGTACATGCCTTGCACAACCTGAAGGAGGGGGGGTGGGGTTGGGGGGGGGGTGTTAATGTTGCAGTTTAAAAACTGTAGTGTAAAGCACCCTTCTGGCAAGACATGTGATGAAGTGAATGATGGTGAAAGTTTTTCTTTTTTCGGGCCACCCTGCCTTGCGGGAACGGCCATTGTGATAATAAAATAAATAAATAAATAAATAAATAATATATAAATTAAATATATAAAATATATATATATATAATATAAATATATTTTATTTTTTTTCAAACAAGTCGGTCGCTCCCACCGAGGCAGGGTGAACCCAAAAAAAAAGAAAGAAAATCCCCAAAAAGAAAATACTATCAATCAACATTCAACACTTTCACCCACTCACACATTATCACAGCTTTTGCAGAGTGCTCGAATAACAACAAGGCTTAGAATCATATACGTAAAGAGAAAACACACATCTCCCTCCAAACTGCCAATATCCCAAACCCCTCCTTAAAGTGCGGCATTGTTACTTCCCATTTCCAGGACTCAAGTCCGACATATGAAAATAACCGTTTCCCTGAATCCCTTCACTAAATATTACCCTTCTCTCACACGTCACCACAGATCGACAGGTCCCAAGTTTATTCGTCTCCATTCACTCCTATCTAACACGCTCATCAACGCTAGCTGGAAGTCCCAAGCCCCTCCCCTTATAAAAATATATATATATATATATATATAATAAAAAAACATAATACGTATATATATATATATATATATATATTATATATATATATAATATACAGTGGAACCCCCCGCATACGAAAAACGCCTTGCATAGCGAACAATCATCATAGCAAACGCATTGTTCACAAAAATTTGCCCTGGGGGCAATAGTGGACAAAACCCGCTCAGATCGACCTTCGTTCCCGAGACGCGTCCAATGTTTTAACCAGCCAGCCTTCCGTCTGTAACCAACAAGCATACACACGGCATATTCGTATTATTACATGTTTTCGGTGCTGTTTGTGGAAAATAAGTGACCATGGGCCCCAAGAAAGCTACTAGTGCAACCCTAACACCCAAAGGGTAAGAATTACCCATTGAAATGAAGAAAGAGATCATTGATAAGTAAGAAAGAGGAGTACTTAACACCGACCTGGTCAGGTTGTACAAGAAACCAAAATCAACCATCGCTTCTATTGTGGGCAAGCAAACGGCAATCAAGGAAGCTTTTTTGCCAAAGGTTAACTGTTTTTTCGAAACAAAGATCGCAACGTGATGGAAGATGTTGAGAGAGACTCTTATTGGTGTGGAAGTAACTCCCAGAAAAAGGACATGCAACCTCAAGTCCTAAAGGAAGGGATTCCCCTTCTAAACAACTAACACTTCACTCTCCCCACCTCCATCCCATCAATCTCACCAATCTTCAAAAAAAGTAAAGTGTCATGTAATTGTGCATTGCCTTTTCAGTTTGTGTGTAACGAAAATATAACATTTTTTTTTTTGTGGGATAAAAAATTTTTTTTTTCATACTAATTTGGTGTCTTGCACGATTAATTATTAATTCCATTATTTCATAAGGGAAAAGTTCAAATTCGCATAGCAACATTTCGCATAACGACCATCCCTCTTGCACGGATTAAGTTCGCTATGTTGGCGGGGGGTCCCACAGTAAATAAATATATATATATATATATATTATATATAAAAATATATATATATATATAATATATATATATATAATTATAGGTAGTAGTATGGTAGACGCAAACCGTCCAGGGAGGTACTACTGTCCCTGCCAAGCGATAGTGTAAAACGAAAGCCTTTAATTGTTTTTACAGAGGGTAGGCTTCTGGTGCACACCTTTTTTCTGTCTCATGAACATGCAAGATTTCATGAACGTCTTGCTACTTCTACTTACACTTATTCACACTACACATACATTACAAGCTATGTAATACACACCCTCTGGGCTTTTTCTTCTATTTTCTTTCTAGATCTTATTCTTGTTTATTTCCACTTAACTCCATGGGAAGTGGAACAGAATTTTCTTGTTCCTTCCGTAAGCCATGCGTGATGTCAGGGCGACTAAAAATGCCGGAGCAAGGGCCTAGTTAAACCTCTTCTCCTGTATTTATTACAAATGTAAAAGGAGAAAACTTTCGTTCTTTCCTTTTTGGGCCACCCCGCCTCGGTGGGGATAACGGCCGTGGGTGTTGAAAAGAAAGAAAGACAAAAGTATAACTATATATTGGTATAGGTTGTAGGACAGCAAACCGCCCTGGAGGTACTTTACTGACCTGCAAAGATGTAAAAACGGACGCCTGTAATTGTTTTACATGATGGTAGATTGCTGGTGTCCATGTTTTTTCTGTCCTCATATACAAGCAAGATTTCAGGTATGTCTTGCTGCTCCTACTTTTTCTGTCTACTTAACACTTAGTCACACTACAACAAACAAGTACAAGCAATATAGTAAACACACCCCTCTGGGTTTACTTCTAATTTTCTTACTAGTGTTCTTGTTTCTTGTTTATTTCCTCTTATCTCCATGGGGTAGTGGGAAATAGAATTCTTCCTCCGTAAGCCATGCATGTTGTAAAGGCAACGAAAAAGCCGGGAGCAATAGGGCTATAACACCTTACTCCTGAATGTTCCTAAATTCAAAAGAGAAACTTTTGTTTTTTTCCTTTTGGGCCACCCTGCCCCGGTGGGTTTCGCTGGTGCGTTGAAAGAAGGAATATATATACGTATATAAATAAATTTTTCTTTCTTTCTTTCAACACACCGCGTAATCCCACGGGCGTGGTGGCCCAAAAGAAAAATCAAAAAGTTTTCTCTCCTTTCAAATTTAAGCAATGACAGTGGACCCCCGCATAAAGATTACCTCCGAATGTGACCAATTATGTAAGTGTATTTATGTAAGTGCGTTTTGTATTTGTAAGTTTGGGGGTCTGAAATGGACTAATCTACTTCACAATATTTCTTATGGGAACAGAAAATTCGGTCAGAACTGGCACCATGAACATACTTAGGAGTGAAAATGAATATCGCTAACCGGGTCCACTGTAATACTATTAGAAGGGGTTACTAGCCCCCTTTGCTCCTGGCATTTAGTAGTCCCCTCTTACACACGCATGGCTAACGGAAGAAGAATTCTGTTCCACATTCCCCATGGAGGTAGAGGAAATACACAAGAAACAAGAACAAGAAAGAAAATAGAAGAAAACTGAAGGGGTGTGGTATATATATGAAGGTTCATGTACAACATATATATACACACCCCTCTGGGTTTTCTTCTATTTTCTTACAAGTTTTTGTGTTCATGTTTATTTCGTCTTAACTCCATGGGAAAGGGTACGAATTCTTCCTCCGAAAGTAATGCGTGTTGTAAGAGGCGACTACAATGCCAGGAGCAAGGGCTATTAACCCTTCTCCTGTATATAGAACTAAATGTAAAAGTAAGGTTGGCTTAACAGCAACCACCCAGGGAGGTACTACCGTCCCTGGCAAGTGATTGTAAAACGAAAGCCTGTAATGTTTACATTATGGTAGATTTGCTGGTGACTTTTGTCTGTCACATAAATATGCAAGGATACATATTTCTTGCTACTTCTACTACAACTAGGTCACACTACACAAACATGTACACGCTTATTTTTACACACTCATCTTAAGTTTTCTTTGATTTTATCTTAAAAAGTTTCTTGGTCTATTACTTTTCCCTTTCATAAATCCATGGGGAAAAGTGGAAATAAGAATCTTTTCCTTCCGTAACCATGCGTGTTGTAAGAGGCGACTAAACTGCTAGGAGCAAGGGGCTAGTAACCCCTTCTCCTGTATATATTACTAAATTTAAAAGGCAAAACTTTTGTTTTTGCTTTAGGGCCACCCCACCTCAGTGGGATACGGCTGGTACGTTGAAAGAAGAAAAGAAGATATATAGACATATATCTTGGTGCATATATACACATACACCTCTTAGTGCAAATACACAGAGATGCACATCTTTTAGTGTATATACCTAGAGATGGCTGACTTGTTAAAAAAAAAAAAAAAAAAAAAAAAAAAATAGAGATACACATCTCTTCGTGTACGTATCGTCATACATCTCTCGGTGTATATACATACATAAAATTCTGTGTGTACACTCGTATTTATGTAATTACAGTATCTTTATTAAAGTTCTAATGGCAATGCGTTTTTACTTAAGGCTATCATCCACACACTTGAATTACGACACAGCATCTCACTGCGTGTCTTTCATATGCTGGACACGCAACTAACCTGTCGCGCCTTGCATGCCTGTTTTGACACTCTCAACAGACACATGTCGGACATGGTTGGCATGCTTCTCGTTGACATACACAAAGAGTGCCACGCCCACCAGCTGCGTCCACGTCACCATCACAAACTTTTCGTCTCGCGATATAACCTGAAGGAGGTAAACAACACGTCAGGAACCTCACATATTTTTAACCTGTTCCCTGTTACTCTGATCCCACTTTGAGCCCTGGTCATGGACTGGGCTATGGGGGCATTGACCCCTGGTACAACCTCCAAGTAGACCAATAAAGTTAGGTGCTGAGACATTGTCGCAATTTAAAAAAAAAAAATTCTCAACTGGTAGAGTTTAATTTTATAATTTTCTGAAGGTAATGACACCAAAAATGCAAAATCTGATGGAAAACTTACAGAATTAAGCAGGTGAAAAGTTGGTGGTCTGGGGGCAATTTACACATTGGCTATTTCACCCAATTTGAGGCCTATTTCAGGCCATTTTTATTGTTCAATTTGACCCAATTTCCAGCTATTTTACTGGTGTGTCTTTTGTTCTATCAATTGAACACAAGAAACTGCCCATTCAACTATCAGAATTAACCTATAATGTGCACAGAATTTGGTAATTTGGCTAATTATACACAAGACACCAGTGTTCCACTGTACCACACAGTGTTACCTTCTGCAGTTCCTTGCCCCAGGATGCAGCATTCTCCGACCACTGAGTGTTCTGTACAATGTTCGTTGCATTCAGATCAACAATTTCTTCGAAGCCAATTGCAAAGACATCAGGAACCCTGCCCTCCCCTGCCTCCTCTTCCTCGGGTGTAGTGTCCACCAGTGCTGCAAAAACACATACATATATATGAACTAAGGCACATATAAACATTTAGATGGGTAAATATGCATGTATGTATATACATGTCATGCCAAATAAGTAAAATTGGTCAATTAGCAAGAAATCATTTAAAATTAAGTCCTTTCTAAAATTTTCTCTTATAAAGATATATTTTTTCATTTATGTTAATGTAAAAATTAATAATTTTGTACCAAATGAACCTTAGAAAACTTGCCTAACCTTATTATAACAAGTGCAGTTTAATTTAGCCTAATCTAACAATAACAAACAAACACAATGAAATATATTTTTTTCGTTAGGTTCAAAATGACTTTTACAAAATTACTGCATACACAAATTTTCACTTGCCTTACTCGGCAAGAATAGCATTCTTATTTAACCCTTAAACGGTCCAAACAGATTGATGTTCAAATCCGTAGTGCTCCAAAAGTAGATCTACGTTTTTTTTTTACATATTTTCAAACATAACAAAAAAAAAATGTAGATAAAAGTTTTTTTTACACATTTTCAAATGTAAAACAAGAAAGAAGATTTACATTTTTTTTACATAACTTCAAATGTTGAAAAAACGTATATATACGTTTGGACCATTTAAGGGTTAAGCCAAAATTGCAAGTTTTACCTATTCGGCATGAGATAAACAGACAGACACACACAAACACACAGACGATCTGGACAGGGTTCAAACCTGGTCCAGAAACTGGCTCCTAGAGTTCAACCCCGCCAAGTGCAAAGTCATGAAGATTGGGGAAGGGCAAAGAAGACCGCAGATGGAGTACAGTCTAGGGGGCCAGAGACTACAAACCTCATTCAAGGAAAAGGATCTTGGGGCGAGTATACACCAGGTACATCTCCTGAGGCGCACATCAACCAAATAACTGCTGCAGCATACGGGTGCCTAGCAAATCTAACAATAGCATCTCAACATCTCAATAAGGAATCGTTCAGGACCCTGTACACTGTGTATGTCAGGCCTATATTGGAGTATGCAGTACCAGTTTGGAACCCACACCTAGCCAAGCATGTCAGGAAGTTAGAGAAAGTGCAAAGGTTTGCAACTAGACTGGTCCCAGAGCTATGGGGTATATCCTATGAGGAGAGGTTAAGAGAAACCAACCTGACAACACTGGAGGACAGGATAGAGAGGGGGGATATGATAACATACAAAATACAGAGATGAATCGACAAGGTGGACAGAGACAGGATGTTCCAGAAATGTGGCACAACAACAAGGGGTCACAGTTGGAAGTTTAAGACCCAGATGAATCACAGGGATGTTAGGAAATATTTCTTCATTCACAGAGTTGTTGGGAAGTGGAATAGTCTGGGAAGTGATGTAGTAGAGGCAGGATCCATACATAGCTTTAAGAAGAGGTATGATCAAGTTTATGGAGTGGGAAGGGTGACCTAGTAGTGGCCAGCAAAGAGGCGGAGCCAGGAGCTGTGACTCGACCCCTGCAACCACAACTATGTGAGCAACTAGGTGCGCGCGCGTGCGTGCACACACACACACGCACGCACGCATGCACACGCACGCACGCATGCACGCACGCACGCACACACACACACACACACACACACACACACACACACACACACACACACACAGCAAGTTAGATGCATAGAGCAAATGTACAACAATGCACACCGCAGCATACACATTCACACAACAACATACACAGACCCACACAGCAGCATACACAGCCATACATACAAACACAGCAACATACACAGACTCACAGCTTCTCACAGCATTCTTCTTGGAGTCGAGTAACCAGTCATCCAGTGAGAGGTGCTTGTAGGCCAGACTCCTGAAGTGCTTGCCACCATTAACATTGTAAGTGCCTACTGCCACTCTCAGAGGGATGCTTGCTGTGTACTCTGTGCTGTGATCACACAGCTGATGCAGCACCTTGATCGGAGCTGCAACATAACACACAAACTTAACTCACAACCTTCAACAATTATATGACCATAAAGCCATGAAAACACTAATAATTATGCAGTACCTGTAAGCTGTATCAACATTGCTGTATTAATATATGCTGTGATTCTTGTACAGGAGGGCCTCACTTACACAGCAGCTTAGGTTCTAGGCAACTGCTGTAAAGTGAAACAGACTTTTTTTTTTTTTAATTTTCAAATGCATATAAAAGCCCGATAACATGTTTACACTATTGTATGTTAAGTGAGCAATTGATCTAGTCCTAAAAAATGCATATACAGTACACATATTATTTACCTAAAATATTTTCGTCAAAATGGGATGTTTGAATGTGCGAGGTTGTAGTGTGAATGATAAGAAAGAGATGATTGTGGATGTTATGAATGAAAAGAAGCTGGATGTCCTGGATCTATGTGAAACAAAGCTGAAGGAGGTAGGAGAGTTTCAGTGGGGAGAAATAAATGGGATTAGGTCAGGGGTTTCTAATAGAGTTAGAGCTAAGGAAGGAGTAGCAATAATGTTGAAGGATAAGTTATGGCAAGAAAAGAAGGAATATAAATGTATAAATTCAAGGATTATGTGGAGTAAAATAAGGGTTGGATGTGAAAAGTGGGTTATAGTAAGTGTTTATGCACCTGGACAAGACAGAGGTGTAGAGGAGAGAGATTTTGGGAAATGTTAAGTGAGTGCATGGGGAGTTTTGAACCAAGAGAAAGAGTACTTATGCTAAAGTGGGTAAAAATGTTGTTGAGGGAGAAGTAGGTAAATTTGGGGTGCCAGGGGTAAATGAAAATGGGGAGCCTTTCATTGAACTATGTGTAGAAAGAGGTTTGGTAATAAGTAATACATATTTTATGAAAAGAGGATAAATAAGTATTTACAAGATATAACATGTAATGAAAGTAGTTTGTTACATTATATATTGGTGGATAAAAGGTTGATGGGTAGGCTCCAGGATGTACATATTTATAGAGGGGCAAATGGTATACTGGATCATAATCTAGTTGTAGCTACAGTTAGAGCAAGATGTAGATGGGACAAAAGGAAAATGGCAATAGTAAATAAGAGAGAGATTAAAGTTTATAAACTAAGGAAGGAGGAATTAGGGTGAGATATAAGCAACTTTTGGCAGAAAGATGGGCTAGTGCAAGTATGAGTAATGGGGGGGTTGAAGAGGGATGAAGTTTGTGGCTATAGAGGGTGGGTGCAGGAGGAAAGAGGAGTGATTGGCAGAATTATGAGGTAAAGGGTGCAATAAAAGAGAAAAAGGTAGCTTATGAGAGGTTTTTACAAAGCAGAAGTTATAAAAGAAGGGCAGAGTATATGGAGAGTAAAAGAAAGGTGAAGAGAATGGTGAGAGTGTACAAAAGGAGAGCAAATGATAGAGTGGGAGAGGCACTGTCAAGAAATTTTGCTGAGAATAAGAAAACATTTTGAAGAGATAAACAAGTTAACCCTTTGACTGTCGAAAGGCCCAATCCTGATGTGTCTCCTGGTGTCGCAAAATATTCGAAAAAAAAAAAAAAAAAAAATTTTATGAAAATGTTAAGAATATTTTTCTGACTGTTTTAGTCCAAAAAAATTTTTTTCCCATCGTACTTACCGAGATATAGAGGCATGAAGTTTGCTGAAAATGATCTGTGAACGGCAACAGCGGCGACTGCCGCTCACCTGGTAAACTTTGATTTACTTGTATTCGATGGTTTCTTGTTTTTTTTTCACTATTTTATTTTTTCACACAACTTTTATGGCCTGTGAGGCCAAATTGTTGTGCAATGTTCAAATATACACTCGTTGAATGTAACACAATTATAGCAAAAACACTCCTTTCATTATAATGTTGCTAAAACTTGTTTACACAAACAATATAAAAAATTGTTTATTACAATTGTTCTATAATATATATACCTAAGTACAATCACTGGACACTTTTCTAGAACTGCTGCAGCTTGTGGAATTCTTTGAAAATTGGTATAAGCACAATGGTGTTTTACACTCCTCACACATAAAACGAGTCTCTGCGTTTTTGTGGGCGTTTTCTGGTATGTCCACAGACAAAACACCTCTTCTGAGCATTTTTCTTGAGAGCAGTAGCAGGCAGTGGTATTGGGTAGTGATCACCAGGCCTCAGACGAGAGGACATGTGTTGATAATTTCGTGGGCGCTGGTCTATTGCAAGTGTTGTTCCTTGGTACTTGAATATTATTTGTCTGATGACTGACAAACAAAATTCACCATATTTGGGTTTGTTCATGGTCTTCAACTTGTACATATTATAAGCATTCAGCATGGAAATGTCAAGATGGAAAAACAGTTTTATGCACCACTTATAACTCTTGCGAGCACAGTCAGCAAACCCAATCTGCATGTCACATTTGTCCACTAAGCACATATTGAGGTTGTAATCCATCACAGCTGCAGGTTTTACAATGGGTTCATTGGTCTCTCTATTCTGCTTTCCAGTGTCTACCATTTCGTGTCGGTGAACTGATGTCAGCAGTGTGACATCACGTTTGTCATGCCACCGAAATGCTATGATGTCACTGGCAGCAAACACCTGCACTTCACCTCTACGACTGCCAGCATCGAACCTAGGCATATGTTTACGATTTCCACGCACTGTGCCACACACATCTGTCATGTTCACTCGCAAGAAATCACTGAGTATAGGGCTTGTGTACCAGTTGTCAGTATATAAAATATGGAAATAAATGGTATAAAATACCGACACAATGGCAATATAAACACAAATGCAGTATAATGTGATCCTTTATTGACTACGTTTCGCCCACACAGTGGGCTTTTTCAAGTCACAAACAGAACTACCTGGGGTGGAAGGAACGCGAGTATTTATAGTCCGGCTGAGGTCAGGTGAAGAATGCTGCATCTGATGATGTACCGAGTTGGGTTGTAGAGTCTAAAAACTTGGGTAGCTTGGAAAGGAGACTGGACAAGTTTGTGAGCAGACCTTCTACAGTGTTCTTATGTGGGATAGCGATGAAGAAGTTTCTTGGCAAGTGGTTCCGCTATGTTATAGAAGCCACTATTCTGGTTGAAGTTGTCGGATATAGAAATAAGTGATGATTCCAGGATTCTTCGGTATTGAGTGTTGTCTTCTGTGGCGATAAGTCTTGAGTTTCTGTAGTTTATCAAGTGGTTGTGTGAATTACGGTGTTGTACACAGGCATTCCTTGTGTCGTCAGACCTGCTTGCGTATTGGTGTTCTGAAATACGTGTTTGGAGGTCCCTTGATGTTTCGCCCACGTATAACTTGTTGCAGTCATTACAAGGGATTATGTATACCCCTGCAGAGGATGGAGGCTTGTCCTGCCTACTACTGGTGATGTCCTTGATGGTCGTGGTTGTGGAGGTAGATACTTGGAATGATGTTTTGGCAAAGATGTTGGAAACATGTTTGGCAATGGAGTTGGTGGGAAGGACTATGTATCTCTTCTCGGCAGTGTCTTCTCTGGGTGTGTTGAAGATGTTTAGTGCTCGCCGTCTGCAGTCTCTGATGAAGTGACGAGGATAGTGGAGTTTGGAAAATACCTGTTCAATTATAGTGCATTCTTCCTCAAGGAACTCGTTGCTGCAGATTCTGAGTGCACGCAGGAAGAAGCCTATAATTACACCACGTTTGGTTTTGGTGTCGTGGTGAGAGTAGAAGTGGAACAAGAAACTTTCCAGCCTTGACGTGACTTCCCTATTCACTAAAGTACCTACTAAACAAGCCATCGATCTCTTGCGCAAGAAAATTGACGATTCACTTGATCTTCCCATTCCAGCCAGCGACTTCATCGACCTGGTTGAACTATGTGTTGGCTTTACGTGTTTCTCTTTTGAAAATCACCTCTTTCAGCAGACTTTTGGACTACCCATGGGTTCGCCACTCAGTGCAGTCCTAGCGAACCTATACATGGAACATCTAGAAGCCGAACGTTTCTCCACCATTATTCCTTCGTCTGTCACCTGGCTCCGTTATGTTGACGACATTCTCCTCATAACTCCTAAACGCTTCAACGTTCAAGCTCTCCAAGACAAGCTCAACCAGGTCGAGCCTTCAATCCAGTTCACACTTGAAGAAGAGGTCGACAACACTCTTCCTTTCCTTGATGTTCTACTCTGCAAAGCTGACCACGAACTTCGTTTTAAAGTCTATCGAAAACCCACCAACCAAAACGATCTTCTCCACTTCTACTCTCACCACGACACCAAAACCAAACGTGGTGTAATTATAGGCTTCTTCCTGCGTGCACTCAGAATCTGCAGCAACGAGTTCCTTGAGGAAGAATGCACTATAATTGAACAGGTATTTTCCAAACTCCACTATCCTCGTCACTTCATCAGAGACTGCAGACGGCGAGCACTAAACATCTTCAACACACCCAGAGAAGACACTGCCGAGAAGAGATACATAGTCCTTCCCACAACTCCATTGCCAAACATGTTTCCAACATCTTTGCCAAAACATCATTCCAAGTATCTACCTCCACAACCACGACCATCAAGGACATCACCAGTAGTAGGCAGGACAAGCCTCCATCCTCTGCAGGGGTATACATAATCCCTTGTAATGACTGCAACAAGTTATACGTGGGCGAAACATCAAGGGACCTCCAAACACGTATTTCAGAACACCAATACGCAAGCAGGTCTGGGCGACACAAGGAATGCCTGTGTACAACACCGTAATTCACACAACCACTTGATAAACTACAGAAACTCAAGACTTATCGCCACAGAAGACAACACTCAATACCGAAGAATCCTGGAATCATCACTTATTTCTATATCCGACAACTTCAACCGAATAGTGGCTTCTATAACATAGCGGAACCACTTGCCAAGAAACTTCTTCATCGCTATCCCACATAAGAACACTGTAGAAGGTCTGCTCACAAACTTGTCCAGTCTCCTTTCCAAGCTACCCAAGTTTTTAGACTCTACAACCCAACTCGGTACATCATCAGATGCAGCATTCTTCACCTGACCTCAGC